TGGGCTTAGGAGTGAGTCCCTGTTCTGCCATTGAGCCTAGCTTTGACTTGCAATTCCTCAACTTGGTCATGGCCTCTCAAACTCTAAAGTGATACTGTTCACCTGGGAGATCTTGTTAAAATAAAAATCAGAGTTAGCCGTGTGGGGTGGGGCCCGAGATTATGCCTTTCTAACAAGCTCCCAGGCAGTGCCGGAGTGGCTGGTCTATGGGCCCCACCGTGATTAGCAGCAAGGAAACAGACAACAGCAGCTCCTCTGTGCAGAGATCCAAAAAAGCCAGCGTTTCCACTCCTTTTGTGCAGATTCCAACTGAGCGGTAAAGCCACAAGCAAGTAGGAAAAACAAAGATGCAGAATCAAATGTAACTAGGGGTGTGGGAAGACAGCGCACACCCTTTGGATGATGTATAATTAACATGAACCTGCAGGGAAGGTCCACTCTAGAAGGACAGAGAGCAGGGAATTTAGGTTGGTTGGAAAGAGAAACTGGGGGTCAGTTTGCAAAAGGTTTTGAATGCCAGGTTCAAGTCTCTGGATTTGGTTCTGAAGTCCAGGGTTGCCAAATGCAAATGCCTACAAGCATTCTTTTGAGACAGTAAGGAGTGGTGGGGTCTGCGGTCAATGGCGAGAGCGTGTCTATCCAAGGGGGCAGTTCCTACTCAGCTCCAGCTGATTGTTCTCATGGGAGATCATAGTTGGACCTTCCGATTTTTCGAACAAAGTCACGTATTTGGAATTTTATGTAAAATCTTCCAATTTTTAGAAGTTGTGAGGCCAAATGAAATTTATTTGGGACCATATCTGGCTTGCGATCCTGCAATTCATGACCTCAGATAGAGGTAAAAGGTAACCAGTAAAGGCATGGGTCAGGAAGCTGCTTCTTGGAAGAAACCAGTGCCTGGATAAAGTCCACAGCAGCTGAGAACCTTGGTCAGGAGAGAGTGTGCTGACTGTTCACCTGTGATCGGACGTCCTCCTAAGTAGTCATACTTCCGGGTAAGAGGTCTCCCAAGGACTGAGGGAAGGTGTTCACCTGGAGTAGAGATAATCACCTGCTCTAAACATGAGAACTAAATGTGCTTCCACCTTTTCTGCCATGCCCCAAGGCTGGCCACCTCCGGCATCATTAGAGGGCGTCATGCAGTGTGAGGTCAGGTAGCAAAGGGGAGCCAGGGGATGTTTGCTCACACCTCAATCCGGTCATTTCTTAGCTTGTTGACCACTGGCAAGTCAGCTAACCTCTCTTGCCTCAGTTTCCCTTATTTATAATAATCTTGCCTCTCTCACAGGGTAGTTGAGAATCAAATGAGCTAACATAGGGAAACACCACTGTGTCTTGCACAGACTAAGTGATCAATTGATAACGATGATGATGATGATGATGATGATGATGATGATTGTCATCATCCAGTTTGGGGGCAGTGAAATATATTATCCTTGGAAGGGTCATTAGGGATCACTCAACCTAATCACTTTACAGGGGGAAACTGAGGCTCAGAGCAGGTAGGTGGTTTGGTCAAGGCCCCACGGGAAGGAGGAGTCAGCGAGATCCACCAGCTCCCACCCCTTGTACTACATGTTTCTCCCCAGCAATGAACACAGGGCCTGGCACGTGGTTGTTTGTGGAATGAATGAATGAACCGATAGCCATGGAAGAACCAGCCATTTCTCTCATTTTCTCTCTGTGTTTATAACATTTCATTCGTGATTCACCCGCAGGTACGTGGAGAAGAGAGAAGCGATTTACATAGGATTCACGGATCTGGGGATGTAGAAATGGTGAGGAATTCACATGGCGTTGGAGCTGGTGGATATTGTCTCTCCAGCCGGCCAGCCTCTTTTCCACCCTCCCTCTCATTCTTCCTTCCATCCCTCCTGCTTCCTGCCTGTCAGTCTGCCAATTATTCTTTCATTCAATCCATTTTTATTGAGCATCTACTACGTGTCAGGTTCTTCAGGCACTGGGGATGCAAGATTGAGCAAAACTGTCAGGATATAGGCAGTTGTTAAATGTTGTAAATACTTACAGGATTTCCTTCATCGAGAAATCCCCAGGCTCAAGGAAGCAGCTGCTCAACTCCCACCAAACAGGGCACATCAAACCCGGAGCACGGTCCCCAGGAAGCCGCCGTCTATGTGCAAACCCCAATTTTCCACAATTTTTGAGTGCCTACTGTGAGCTGGCACTGGGCTAGGCACATAGGTGCCCCGCTTCCCACTGACAGGGGTGCAGGATGAATTCTAAAGCTGCTTCTTCCTGCACGAGTAGCTGGATGCTGTCTCGACAACACCAAATATCAGGGGGCGAAACAGAGCAGACTGTGTGCTTCCTGATGTCTCCAGAGACACCGAGATTGCTGTTTCCATAAAGATATTTGGGTTTCCTGTGGATGAAGGAGGCTTCTTTGTCCTTCAGAAGTTTGTTGGTAATGGGGCCAATCAGCATCAATGTGCAATAAAACTGGGCTTTCATCCGAAGGACATGGAATGTCTCTAATGCAAGTGGTGAGAAATTTCAGATATTTTCAAATAGAAAAAGAGTTCCTTGGCAGTATTAGGAAATCATGTCCCTTGCAGACTGAATTTTCCAGGTTTTAGCCAGATGGCAGGGTTTGGAGGCCTGAGTTAGCCCTGTCCGCACAGCTATTCTGGAAATCTGGAAAGACAGCTTCTCTAGGCAGCCAACCGAGATGGCTGAAATGATAAAAAATACGTTTTTTTTTTTTTTTTCTTTGCTTAACTGCAGGTGTTTTGGCCTTCATTAGCTGCATCACGGGTCTGTCCTCCCAGAGCCCAGCTCTCTGGAGGGTGAAGCAACTGACAACTTCTTCCATTTCTGGGCCGAACCCTGCCTCAACTATCTCGCACTGCACTGCAGACCCACCCACTGGTGGAAGAGAAGGCTCTGATAAGGGAAAAAAGACAGTATCTCCAAGTGTTTAAAGTACAAGTGCTAGACCCCGTGTGTTCTCTTCTAACAAAGGCCAGCAGAGAAGAAGATGCCGGTGATTTGTTGGTCTGACTTTACCTATTTGAAAAATGCCCTCCATGCTTCAACATGACACTCTCGAGCATTTCCTATCCTCTTGACAGATCCCAGAAAATTCACAAAGCTGCGGACATTATTGCCCGAGATAACTGGGAAGTGGTGTATTCGTGGCGGCACAAATAGGGAAAGAAAATGAATTGTTTGAAAAAAAAAATGCATGGGCACATAGGAAGACATTTATGCACAGATTTATAAGTTCCTATAAATGCCACTTCTAGAATATTCATCTCAATCCAGAGCCGTTTCTTTTTCTGAAAAGTAATTCTTAATAAAGATTCCATCACCCTCAGTAAACCTTCAAGTATTTCTTTCATATCTTACACGAGAGGATGCTTCTTTCTCAGTCAGGACTGCTGGTGTCTTGGTCCCCTGCTGGAGGGGTAAAGTTTACTGCTTGCTCCTTTTGTGTGAAGGGAAAATAAAAGTGGGATTCTCTTTCTTCTGGTTTGTTTTCTTGAGCTTGTAATTTTAAAATATCTTCTTTCGGGCCCCTTATATATTGACTACCGTGGCACAGAAGTCAAGCAAAGGGGACTCTGTCACCTGACAAGTCTGCCCCCCGCTGAGACATCAGGCAGGGATATCTGGGTAAAAATCCCAGGCTCGAACGCAGTTGTGTGATTTCCTATGATAAATAGCTTGGACGAATGCTAATCAAAATTACTTTCTGCTTCTACCTTATTCAGCAAGACGAATGCATGACATGGCCCCAGAGGCTGGGGTTTGTTAATTTGCAGATGTCTTTGCTCAGGTCTGTCTGACTAGGCTGGCAGCTCTCTGTGCACACAGGGCGGAGCGTGGGCCCCTCTGTCATGGGCCCCTCGTCTTCTCCCCTGCTCACCGGATTCTGCAACTCGGGCACCATCCACGATGCCCACTCAGGGAAGCAACTCGGGATCTCTCACATGCTGGAAATGTACATTGCAGACAGCAAAAGGGATCCCGGTGATTTGAAGACAGAGACACTGATGGTGTGCATTACCGTTCTCCTCTCTAGGACACACCCCTTCCAGGTGGACATAGGTAATCAAATGGGCAGGAAGAAATGAGAGATTTTTTTTTTTTCCAATCGGATATTTGGATCACAAGATGCAATCTCAAGAGATCAACAGCTTGAGAAACCACTATGCATGTGGGTTGAAGGATTTCAGGAAGAGTCCCCAGTAGGGCAACCAGATCAGTGAAGAGGGTGTCACTGCCGTTTTAAGACTCAGCTAATGATGTCAGGGAAAAGCAAAGGCTAATTTCAACCGGGTGAAATGGTGGATATATGAATAGAGATTGACAAACTTAGACCACCACAGGCTGTGTGCCTCCTGTGTTTGCTGCTTTCAATTTTTGCAGCTTTGTGGGAAGGACCAGTTAAAACCACCTGAAGACCAGGTGTATGAAGGTCTATTTGATGGGACTGAGTTTCCTGGGCGCGAGCCTTGCACGATCCCCACACAGGGACCCCATCTGAAAGGGACGTGTTGGCCTGGTGTGAGAGTGATGCCGTTTCCCTCCTAGGTCTTAACCTTTCCTAGCGAGACAGACAACCAGGAAAGTAGGAAATCGAAACAAGCTATGTTTAGCCGAATTTTACATACCATAATCTCTTTACCATGGTCCAGCAAGGCAGGAATGCTTGGGCCGATCAGTTCTGGTACAAATCCATTCCAGAGGGGAGTGATTTACAACTTAGCACCATTCTCGACTCTTCCCTGAGAGTGAAGTTAAATGACCCAAGAATAACAGGACTCTGCACCAGAACTAGGGAGAATGGTTTTCTAAAGGGTGGTCTCGGGAGTAGGTTTTCACCTGCAGAAACGCAGGCGCGAGCACTGCTCCGGAGTCCTGGTCAGGGTCAAGGCTCATTCCTATTTTAAGAGGTCGGTGGTGTGGTGAGTTATGAGGTCTGAGGGAGGAGTGGGCCTGGCCCAGGGGCCTTTTGTTGCCTTCTTACCAAGGAATCTTGAGTTGATCCAGGCCAGGGATACATGGCTCGTTCCCCCCTCCTCCTGACGCCAAGCCTGGTCGCTGGTGACCGGCCCCATGGAGGTCCTTCTGCCTCCAGCATGATGCCAAAAGATCCATCCCAGTGGTGTTGGAAGGCAAAGGTTGAATGGGTGGGCCCCGGCGGAGAAAGAAACAAGGGCAAAGGTTTGAAACACCATTGGTTAAAATACCTCGATGTAAAAATGAGCCTCTTGAACGCGTCTGAGAGGGTCTAAACACCCATCTGACAGGGCTTATAAATAGACAAGTGAGATGTTGAAATTATTTTAAGACAGATGCCTTTTTAAACTGTATTCGGAGCACCTTTCGGGGCTCCTCATGGCACAGTTCCTCGAGCAGGAGGTATTTCATCTTCGGAACATCTGGAACTGTCAAGGAGGTAGCCCTGCAGACCCCAGCAGATGCAGGCACTTCCACATAAAAGTGCGCCAACAAATCATGCCTGCAACTGCAGACCAGCTCAAGTGTTCCGCAGCAGCGACTGAGGAAGCAGGGCTCAGGCGGGGAGCACAGCTCACGGGAGCCCCTGGCCCCCCTCCACTCCTACTGCTGGAATCAACCCTTAAAAAAACAATTCGGCTGCAATTGTTTTTGTTTTAAAGATTTACTTATTTGAGGAAGAGAGAGTGTGCGCGAGGTGGGGGAGACAGGCAAGAAGGAGAAGGAGAGAGAGAATCTCTCTCCACTGAGAGTCATAGCCCGACGTGGGGGCTTGATCCCACGACTCTGAGATCATGACCCGAGCCGAAACCAAAAGTCGGATGCTTAACCGACTGAGCCACCCTGGCTCCCCCTTTCTCTGCAATTCTTTACCAAGTGGCTAACCAACTGCAAGCCAGTTTGTTTCCTTGTCTTGTAGGAAGTGATTGACAGAAAAGTCTTTTTTGTTCCCCGCTTTGGGGTAACATTTTCTCCATCCCATAAATCCATAGGCTTGACAGAACAGGGTCAGTTTGTGCTGTTACTCAAAGAATCCCCATGCTTGCTTGCTTTGGGTTTTCCACTGGCCTTGTTGGTCTTTGGGCAGGCAGGGCGGTGGGGGGGGGGGGGGGCGGTCACGGCACCTTGCCCATGAAGGGGGCCGGTGTGGCCCCATACTGCCTTCTTACGGCAGGTAAAGCCATGTGGCAAAGTCAGACCTCCCCCCCCGCCCCGGACGCTGACCACTCGGCCCCAGAAGGGACTTCTTCCATTAAACCCCCAGACAAAACTGATGATACTTTATCTCTTCAGGGGCTAAGGCTCAAGTGTGCATTCAAAACCTGTGTCTCAATGCATCGCTTGGATTTTTTTTTTTTTTGTGGCTGCATGCCAAAGTGCTACAGGAGAAATAGAAACAGGAGAACCTCACAAGGACTGAGCTGGAACTTTACACAACTTTTCTATAAAGTATAGCAATAAAATAAATACTGCTGATAATAATAATAAAAAAAAAATAATAATAAATGCCTTGATCAGTTTTATGAAAACATTTGGACCTTGCGGGACGGAGGAGGAAATGAAACTGGATGTTGGAAGCTTTGGGATTTATAAGAACGTCTTTGGCCAACGTAATAAAGACAATCTTCCAGAGTGAAGGGAAAGCTGGTGTTATGATGGAATCTCCACCACTGTCACTGTTTTCTCTCTCTGTTGTAGTGGCAAGCCAGCCACCACCCTGGTGACCAAGTACATCCTCGAAATTAGCTTCCCGGCAGATGAAGTGATGCTCTCCGCAACTTAGTGAGGCGGGTTGCTTCGCCCCTATTAAACCGAGCCAGGCATGCTGAGGGGTGGCAATGATTTCAGGGTCAAACGTTGAAATATCTGGTACCTCCCTAGAGCCAGTGTCGGCTGAGACACCGCTGTTTGGGCGGGAGGGGCAGGAAGCCCCCGGCTGCCATTCTGTGCATCTGTGCATTGGAGTGCTTGGTTCTTTTCCCCTCTGCTTCTCAGGAAAGAATGCCCGAGTGAGGACAGGCAGCCGCACAACTTCTACCACCCTGTGGTAACTTCATGCCATGACATACACTGCCCAGATGGGCCTTCACTGCCATTCCTGTGATAAGCGGCACCCCGGGTACCTGGGCACCCCATTTCATCCTGCGGTCCACGGGGGGGGCAGCTTTAGTGGAGCTCTGGAGGTCAACAGCAACACGTCTTTGTCAACAGCAAATTTTGAAAGATCTCAGAATCACCAACGCTGGCCCTCCATGGTCGAGGAATTGGCCACGAGACAGACCCAGAACAGGTTTCAGCCAGAGCCCAGTGGCGATGTCCCATGTCCAACACCGTCTCAGGGGCCGGGGCTCCAGAAAGGAAAGCGATCTGCCCACTGAAGCTGCCCAAAGCGCGCTCGGCTTTTGCATTTTCTCCCAGCCTGTACATCTCCCAAATATTCCTTTTCCACAGTGTGCCCCCACCCCCAATTTTATATGTAGCAGATGGCCTTCAAACAAATCAAGGACAGAAGCTACAAAAGCCTTAAAGAAAAAAAAAAAGACAGTGAAACTCATATATTTCTTCAAACGATAAGATGAACTACAGATGTTTGCTGAAGGGTGATGCTGCTGCCTATAACTTAAGACTCAACTTAAAAGAAGATTCCACTTGTGTTTAGCGTTGGACAAGCCCGGTAGCTGTCAGGGTGTGATTTATGGAGGTTGTTTGTGAGATCTGATGTCACTGGGGACATAGCAATTAAAACGCTCTGCCATTGGGCCCGCAGAGCCGCCTCCTCTGTGGACCCAGGCATGGAGTCCAGGTGGAAATGCCCTGCGCTCCACAGCCAGGCACGAGGATGGGTGCGGCCATCCCCAGGGTGCCCTCTCGCTCCCGATCCTCCCTCCCTCCCCTCCTGCAGAGTTCTTGGTCCTCTTGGACAAGTCCCGTTCTTACCTGACACCTGCAGTCAGATTAATCTCCAAAGAAGCTTGACAAAGTCACTAAAAGAGAAACAGTCATCTGTTGCGGGACTCGGCTGCATATAGGAAACAGCTGCTTGCTAGGCTCGGTTTGTAAAGAAGGCAGAACAGCATCACTGCGAAGTGTTTAAAAACGCACGGAAAGCATGTATTGGAAAGGCCAGCGGAGGCCTGTAATTAACACAACGCTCAGTATCTGTGTTTCTATTAAAAGCCGCTTTTCCAGGACTTGTTGTAACTTGGACATATTTATTACGAACTGAAACCGAAGGTACGAGCGAGGCCTTAGCTGGATGCCGTTTGCCCTCCCGTCGTTTGGCCTCCTAAGCTGAGATTCTTAATAATGCAAAGAGAGCGAGGTGTTTTGGATGCACACGCCCGCTCCCAAGCACGAGCCGCCGTCTGCATCTGTGTGGAGGCAGACACCTACGCCCATCACACATGTGCCCGGGGCCCTTTGGCAGCTGCTCGGCGCTGGGTTGATGGCAGAGGCCGCAGGGTCCTGGGTAGAAGCAGCGGGAGGAAGCCCCAGCCTGCCTGTGGCCTCTGGAACAGAAATGTGGGGAGCCTTTGAAGTTCCCACAACTCAGGTGGAAGCCCCTCCGAGCGGCCCTGGGAGGAAGTCATTCGTTTTCACACAAAGGGGAAAATTCCTCAGGACCCTGGTGTTTCCACTCAAACAAACCTCTGAAAAGTTGTTCTCCAGAGGATCAAGGACCAGCTGTTCTCCATCTCCGTGAGGCGGTGGAGAGAGGAGCTGCGCTGGCTGGAAGACAGCGTGAGAGACGCAAGCTAGACAGGAGGAAGCACGGTGAGGCGGGCCAGGTCCTTGGCACGGGAACCAGGAAGATAGCACGTGGTTTGGCCGTCAGAGGGAGGAGGATGCCCGGTGTAAGCGTTTCAAGATCTGTTCTGTGTTCATGGAGAAGATTGCAGCCCATGGCCTTTTTACCTGCCACTGAGTTCGCTGGGCGCATGCCGCACACAGGACCCACAGGCTGCAAGCTGCTGACGGCCCTTGGGTGTACCTCAACTCACACCCAGAAGTTTCCAGGGAGGTGAGAATGCTGCTTATTTGTGTGTGTGTGTTTTAAAGATTTTATTTATTTTTTTGAGAGAGAGAGAGAATGAGAGAGAGAGAGAGAGAGAGAGAGAGCATGAGGCAGGGAGGGTCAGAGGGAGAAACAGACTCCCCACTGAGCAGGGAGCCTGATGCGGGACTCGATGGTGGGACTCCAGGATCATGACCTGAGCCTAAGGCACTTGCTTAATGACTGAGCCACCCAGGCACCCGCTGCTTATTTTTTAAAAATACCTTAAATGACTTGGTAGTGGACATTCATCTTTTTTTTTTTTTTCCTATTTTTTTGATCAGGCTACCTCTTACTCTCTTTTCTTGTGTAGGAGTTTCTCGTCCTGTGAATCAGAATTCCTCTCATTTCGGAGGCTGAGAAGTCAAAGCCTTGCCTCTGTCCTCCCTTCGCAGGCTGGACCATCGGGTCTCCTGTTGTGGACGAAGCTTGCCTCATCGTTGTGCTGGTTCACCCCACCAAAGGTAAGCCGCAGGGGAGGCATGCGCATTGTGCATTTTGGCCCGTTAACCAGCTCTGAGCAGACAGACCAAATAATAATAATGTCCTGAACAAATCCTGCGGGATAGGGGGCCCTGGTGGAGGGAGGCGGGGCTGGCACTCTTTCCTGAAACCGTGGAGTCTCTTGACACAGAGCCGTAGGCTTCACAGGGCTGGATGCGATCCCGACTGAGTGATCTTGGGCAAGACTCTTATCTTTTCGGAGTCTTGCTTTCCTTATCTTCAAACCACCGCCCCTTACAGGATCATTGTAAGGATCACGTGAGGCTCAGTGCTCGGCACATAGTAGGTGCTCAAAAGCGGTAAGCTTTCTGCCATCGGGGGGAAATCCTGAGGAAGGGGCAGACGTGGATTAAGGCCCGCGGCGAACATATCACTGTACTGGGCTGTTACACCATAGCCGCCATAAAAGACCCTCCAAGGGAAAACGTAAATGTCTCACGTGGCAGATTCCCCCCTAGTTTTCTGTTTCAGGACCTAATGGGGAAGCTGGAATGACAGGGGTGTGCTTTCTTTTCCATTCATGCTCCTACCCCAGATCATTCCCTTCCCTTCCCTGTCCTGTGCTCTGGGGCCATGGAGGCTGACCTGCATGCGATGTATCTCCTGGGCTTCCAGCCCTCTGGTTTCTGCCTGCATTTGGCCAATCCCAGCCTCCCTCCAGCTCCCACCAGGTTCCAAGAACACCATTCCCTTGAGGCCAATGGATGGATACAGCTTCTCACCATTGCTAATCTCTAGGGCTTTGCTTTCCCATGGTGCTTCCTTAAGCCGTATCCCTACTTCTGTAAATGGTCCCTTCATTAAATTCTCTTTGCAATCTCATCTGAATGTGCTTTCTCTTTTCTGCCAGGAGACTGAAAAAGAGTGTGACTGGACAGCATCAATCTAGGAAGACTTCCTGAAGGAGGGTGTCTCTTCCCCAGATTTTTGGAGGAGAACCACAGTAACTTGATAAGGGCATCGAATAGAAGGCTGATGTTCCTGCGAGGGAGACTGGAGTCAACAAAGACTTAGGAGTTAGACTCTGAGTGAACTCTTCACGGGTGATGGCAAAGGTCCTTATCAACAGGACATCCCTGCAGACTCAGAAAGGGAGAGAATAATGATGCTAAAAATAGAAAACCGTGTCATTTATTTATTGTCTACTGAGTGACCAGCACTCACAACTGTGTGATAGGTATTATTATCATTTTATGGATGAGAAATGGGAGCTCAGAGAGGGTAAGTAACTTGCTCAAGATGGATTGGAATGATGGATTTGGAATTCATAATGATGGATTTGGAATTCATAATCCATACATGATGGATTTGGAATTCATAAAGCATGGAATTCATAAAGCCCAGGCAAGGCTGCCCAACGGTCCCCACTCTGCCTGGGACTGAGGGGTTCCTGGGACGTGGGACTCTCAATGCTGATTTTTCTGTTAATGGCAGGATCTGTTGGGTGGTTGTGGAGGTAGTGCAAGTGGGTACTAACAGTCATGCCTATACTAAATAAAGTTAATATCCTTGCCTCAGAGGACCCCCTAGAGTTGATTGGTAAAAGTGGAAGCATGAAGGGAAGGAAGGAAGGAAGGAAGGATGGAAGGAAGGAAGGAAGAAAAGGAAGGAAAGGAAGGAAAGGAAGAAAGTAATTATCAGCTCAGAGCATTCCATACAGCAGCAGAGAGGTGATGCAGTCAGTCCAAATAGCAAACAACATTTCTATTTGTCTCAGGACTGTGATAGCATTTTTCCCTCTGACAGACTTTCCTTTGCAACTCATTTTTGGCTCTAATTAATGATAAATGGCGGGTGCGTTCTTTAAGCACAGGGAACCAGAGGAGAGAAAACGTGGTGTTCAGATTCTGGGAGTATCAAGAGGTAAGCCTCATGACAGGGCAGAGCGCAGCCTTAGGGGTCTTTGGAGGTATAAACACCATCACCCAGTTGACTCACTTGTTAACCCGAGTGTGTGATGGGTGGGGGTGTCTGTGGGCAGGATCATTCCAGGCTCAGCCATGATTCTCTGAAATAACAGCAGCAAAGCTGCCATTATGGAACTCCTGGTACCTTTGCTCCAGGTGTTTCGTAGACATAATTTTAAATGCTTAGACAATCCTTCAGAGCAGGCATTATTAATCCCATTTTCGAGATGAAGAAACCGAGGAGGAGCAGTCTCTGGGGACTTCTTGTGTGAAACTGGCAGGTCTGGGCTCCCCAGTGACGTTCCTTGGGCGTCAAGTCATGAACCAGGGGATAGTCTTCCTGAGTGCCCACGGCTCTGGCGATGGCTGGTCCCATTCAGTAAACATTCACGGGTGCCTGGCATATTCTACCAGAGGGGGTGGGTTCATGGAGTTGTCCTTGAAGAACTCGGATGGATCTTTTATGTTCCCCACCACTGTGGTGATAGCAGCCTATGTTCTTCCAACTTCCATTCATTTGCACATGCTGTGTCCCCTGCTGGAGTGGTCTTCCTCTGTTTGACCATCTGAAGAGCCTCTACCCATCCTTCAAGACTCAGTTCAAGCACCGCTTCCATGGATATAGTCTTTCCCACCCCCCAGCCCTAATCTGGGTGAGGTCTCCTCTTCTGGAGTCTCCTCCCATCCCATATGGATGGTGACCTCAACTGATTGTTCTATAATCTGTCACCACCCTTCTCACTGCCAGTCTTCCCAGCCTGTGAGCTCCTTCAGGGGAGTGATGGTGGTTTCTTCGGTTGGTGCAAGGCAGATACTCAACACTGTTGAATGAGTAAGGGACAGGCTAGAGTGTCCCGGGAGCTCTGGCTGGGACACACTGACCTCCATTGCTTCTGGTGGACCCTGCTCGGCATCTTAAGTTTGCTTCATGCTAGATTTTCCCCACACATGCTTCTGGGGAGCATGCCTTGGGGACTCTCAGTGAGCTGCTTTCTCTCCTTGGGTGCGGCTTTTCACCAGTCTGTGCCAAGACTAGGTGCCGCCCATAGTGTGCTCTTAATTAAGGGCGGTGATTCTGGAAGGGAGAAACAGAGGAAGCACCATAATTTATACTGGATGATTGCCATCTCATTTTATCAATCTCCTAAGGTTTGATTAAAGAGACCTCTAAGGATAGGGATAGAGTAGACGCAAGCTTCACTACAGAAAGCGTTTTTCACAAGACTCTTCTCGGAAGAAGGAAGGATCCAAGCTCTATAAATATGCAGCATGCCAAATCTGAAGGCAAGAGTTGATTTACAAATTTCCGCTCAGCCCAAAGTGGGTCATTGCTTATTTAGAGAGGACTTTCTGCGTGGGTCCCTCTGAGCAGTTGGCATCTCAGGGATGGAGGGGTCAGAAGGCTGGGCTCCTGGCGTTCTTTACCATTTACCAGCTGGGTAGCTTGGTGAGATCATAATCCTTCTGATGTTGGCATCTCTGAGATGGCAGTGATGATGATGATGATGGTAATAAGCTTTCCTTATAGAGCTGCCATTTGGATTGAAAGAGCTCACACCTAATTCTCAAATGTAAATGAACACATTCTCATTTTAGTGGTTAAAATCAAAGCCGAAGAACCAACTAGGACAAACAATTCTGCTTCAGATGCTTCTGTGTCGCAATCTAAGTAAGGCCCAGTGAAACACAGTTCACAAAGCTGCTCATTGTTCTCTCTGGTGCTGAGTCCATACCTTTGAAGTATGTCCCAGAGAAGGACCAAGTCCCAGCCAGGGCCGATGTGAGCCACTGCACTCCCTTGGCAAGCTGTGGTTTTGACTTCAATTACATGAGTTATGTTAGGTGTTTGTTGGGCTTTGCATCTTGATCAGGAATATTCCCTTGTGAAAGGGCTGCTTGATTTTGGCTTGCTGATGTCAGCAGTGTAAATATGATTTAATTGATTAATAGGCATTAATGACTGGTAATTAAGGCATAACCTGTTAGCTGGAAAGAGCTCACAAAACATGCCCATAAATGGAAGGATGGCCTCGTTTCTGATCATCGTCCCTTGTCTGTGGACAGTGATTCCACTGTAGGGTCAGTTGCCTTCTGCCATATGGGTTATACATAAAATAAAATGCATATATTAATATATTTGGTAGAATCCATTTATTGTACTTTCATCCACTGAAAAAAACCCGAGTTTTGTCCATATGAAATGAGTCCTTAATCTCTGATCTGAAGGTCATCTGTCGAGAAAGCCCTCTGCTGTGGTTGGTGGAGGTGCTCTACTCCAGCAGGTTTTGCTGTCTATAAAATCCTGGGCTTCTACTGCATTCATCCCTCTTTGATTATCGAAAACTTTCCTTTGCTGCTAACACTCAGGAACAATGTAATAAGTAACTTCCAATTAAAGTTTTCCATATGTGGCAAAAATTGTAATGAATGAATAAGTAAAGACCGCATAATGGAAGCCTATTAGCCAAGTGAATATACTCTTTTAAGTTAAATTTCTATAGCACTTTTGTATTATCTCCCATCAGAAGAGAACGTGCAATTACCAATTTTATCTTATCTCGGGCTTATTATTAAAGAGTAGTAAAGGAAACTTCATTCCAGGAGCCATAATGTGATTTTTGATTAATAGAGGGATTCTTATGTGACAAGAATATTTCTCCTAGGCAAAGTAGGCACATGGATTTCTGCCTGAGCTGGCTTGTAGCTGGAGGCTACATCTCAGGTGGAGCGATTGTTCAACAATAGAACATATGTCTCTACACGGGGATCGGATTCTTAAGGTACTCTGGAGCATGAGAAGGGCAGGGCAAAGTTGACATTGGCTTTGCAAGAGACCGATGTTTATTTAGTTGCTTCCAATCAGTATATCAAACCCGACACAGATTCGTGTGCAAAGGGATGAGATGAGCACCCCACAGCTCTTGGTTTCTCAGCATTCCTTCCCGCCCCTCTTGGAAGCTCTTCTACCACCTGCCGTAGTCTCTCGTGGGGTCCAGGCACATTGTGGGCACACAAGGGATATCTGTGAGTCGATGACCCACTGCCTCCCACCTCCAACTGAGGGCGGAAATCGTTTGAATTTGAATGCCAGTCCTCCAAGCCAGCTTTTCCCAGAGAACTGTTCTGAGGAAGTTATCTGGAAACGTGCCCTTGGCTCCCAGCGGCCTATGTTTATGCCAGTGACCTGGGGAGCATTTGTTAGGGGACAAGGCGAGGGCTGTCCCAGTTGCCCTGCAACAGCCCTGTTTGACCAGAAGTCTGAGCCCTCCTCTTCAGAGTGTGGGGCAGGGCCCGTCCCTCAGAGCCTGGATGGTTCCCTTGGAGCTGGCTCTGCTCTTGCCCGCTACATGACGCTGGGCAAACATCCTGACCCATCGGAGCCTGTTTCCTCAGCTGGAACCAGGAATCCTATCTATTCTGGGGACTTACTGTGAGGATTTGAGGTAGACAGTGTTTTAACACGTAGGCGTCACCATAATGTCGAGGCTACCACCTGTTGACCTAACGGCTTGGGCGCATAATATGGCTTCATTCCTGTGGCTCTCTGTCCCTCCTTGAGGATGCTTTTTCTACTGGTCATTGCCATCTCCCATCTCCCAGGGTAGGTGTGCTCTGTGCAGGGGACCCCCACCGTTGACAAGGCTGCTGACATGGGATTTAATCCTGTGGAGAAAACGGATTTTTCTATCATTTGGCAGAATAACTCAGATGCCAAAAACAGCACATGCCCTTCGACCAGAAGCTTTCCTTCTAGAAGTTTATCATAAAGGAAGTAACTGAGCAAGCATGAAAGTTATACGCATATGAATGTTCACTGAAGTGCGGTCTACAGGGCCAAAAAATTGGAATGCAAGGAGAGTGGGAGGTGGTATTTGTTATATCAACTGTGGTGCATCGAACTTTAGAGTCCTGCGCAGCCTAATCGAGATACCACTGTAGAAGACCATCTAATGTCGTAGAAAGATGATTATGACTCGGTAAGTAGAAAATCAGGTTATAAAACAAAATATGCCATATGATTCTATTTCTGAGAAAAAAAATTTAGGAATATAAATCAATAGATTAAATGTCAGTTATGTCAGGATAGTCAGATGGTAGATTATGTTATATCCACTCTCTCTTTTGCTTATTTCTGTATTCTGATTTAATAATTAATCAGTATAGATGTAATTTTTTTTTTAAGCGAGAAAATGTTATTTTGTAAAGTCTTTTCTTTTAAATTGAGCCTGTAGAACAGTAAAGTCCACATCAACAGGCGGGGCTTACTCTGGGCAAGCCGGAGCCAGAGTGGGTGGTGGGATTTCAGGGGTTTCAAGGCCCTTTCTGAATCCCTGCTTCCTCCTCCTTGATATCCCGGCTGGCATGCAGGTTCCCTGTAGGGGAGAGAAACACTGCTCACTGATGTTTCTGGTCACTGGCCCCTTGGTGGGACAGAGCAGACAGGCCATCTGGCTATCCCGGGTACTCTTGTGGTCAGGGGTAATTCATGTCTGGGACCAGATATGATGGGAAAGATAAAGCTGATAGACAATGTGAAAAGAATATTCTGGAAGAAGGCGGAGGAGGGCAAGGAGAAGCTCAGAGCCTGAGGGGTGGGGCTCCAGGACAACTGGCTACCTTCCAGCCTGGCCACACAATTTAGTGCCTTCCAGAAACAGAAGATGCCTGGGTCACCAAAGGGAAGGGCCCAGCGGGGTTGCACACAGGGGTGGCTGGCTCACCCAGGCCTGGCTCATGCCCTGGGGGCGCCACCCAGCACCCACTGCGGACGGGTGCTTGGAAGGAGGAGGGATAAATACAGCTGTCTCCAAGGGGCAGAGGTAATTGGCTTCTTCCTCAGGAGCATTTCCTTTTTAAGGCAGAATGCTATAACTGGCAGGCCGCAAACACCGGTGTGTGAAGGTAAAGCCACCAAAGAGAGGGCATTTTGGCCCCTGGCGGTTGGGCCTTTTCATTAACCCCCTGGGCTGTGGTTTGGCCAGGCCTGGCTTCCTCAAACCCCGCTGTACACAGACCAGGGCGCTGCCCTGCGCTAAACCCACCTGTAGCTCCCCATAGCCTGTGGGGTAGGGCCTGAGCACTTTGTGGTAACAGGGCCCCAGCTGACATCTCTGGTCCTGCCCCACCCCCTCCAAGCACACGCCTCCTTCTGCTTCTAGAAATTTAGCTGGGTCCACTCACAGTGTGTTTTGATAATGCTGAGACTTTAGGCACATGCTGTCCCCTTTGCCTGGAAACCCCTCCTCCTTCTCCACACACTGAGGTCTTATTCGTCTTTTAAGAACCAAATGGAATTTTCTATCAAGAAGCCTTCCCTGATTCACTCCATCCCATGGAAGCCATTCCCATGTCTGTCTTTCTTTCTTTCTTTTCTTTCTTTCTTTCTTTCTTTCTTTCTTTCTTTCTTTCTTTCTTTCTTTCTTTCTTTCTTTCTTTCTTTCTTTCTCTCTCTCTCTCTCTCTCTCTCTCTCTCTCTCTCTTTCTTTCTTTCTTTCTTTCTTTCTGGTCACTGGCCCCTTGGTGGGACAGAGCAGACAGGCCATCTGGCTGATAGAAAATGTGAAAAGAATATTCTGGAAGGAGGCGGAGGAGGGCAAGGAGAAGCTCAGAGCCTGAGAGAGAGATAGAGAGAGAGGGCACAAGCAGGGGGTAGGGAAGAGGGAGAAGCAGCCTCCCCGCTGAGCAAGGAGCCCAAAGTGGTACTCGATCCCAGGACCCTGAGATCATGACCTGAGCCGAAGGCAGACGCTTAACTGGCTGAGCTACCCAGGTGCCCCCATTCCCATGTGTTGCTTAAACACTTAGGTCGTTAGCCACATGAAGGAAAAGCTGAAGGAATAAATGTGTTGACGTATTTTTTCCTTTGAGATTCCAGGCTGTGTATGAACTCTAAATACAAACCTCAGCCCTGCAAATTATTTTTTTAATAACAATGTTTTTATTTTATTTTCAAATAAATAATATAGTCACATGGTTCAAAAGTATAATATGAGTCTATGCTAATCAAATATGAATATTCAGCAGAAATTCAACCTTTCACTATAACTCCTAGATCTGCCGCTCCAGTTCTCTCCCAGACAGAGAAGCAATGTTACCAATTTCTTGTCAACCCTTCTAGACACACGAAAGCAAGCACACACACCACATTGAGATTTCTCTAGGGCTTAAACAAATGGGGCCATCCTCTATGCCCTCCCCTGCACTTTGCTTTTTCCAGTCCACACAATATTTTGCAAGATTGGTTGATGTCAATCCATAAAGAAGGTTGTTTTTTTTGTTTGTTTGTTTCATTTTTTCTTATTGTTTCTAGGATTCATTTGAGTCAGTGTGTCATACTTTGTTTAACTTGTCCTCCACTGATGGGCATTTAGGTGGTTTCCAGTCTCTCACTCTTACAAATGGACCTTGAGAGAGCTTGTTTGGAGGTTCTAGCAGGGGAGCGCAGCTACTCGTATACCCTTGACCGAAGAACGGTCCTCCTCTATCGGGGAAGGTCGTCCTCTTCGACCGAGCGCGCAGCTTCGGGAGGGACGCACATGGAGCGGTGAGGGAGGAAGGGGACACCCGCCTAGCCAGCCAGATCAGCCGAATCAACCCTGGTGATCAATGGGGTGACAGATGTCGCAGCCAGATCGCCCTCACATCCCAGTCTCTCACTCTTACAAACTGCACTGCAATACATCGTCTTCTACGGAGTCATTTCTCAGAACTACCTGCATATGAGTATATTCATAGGATAAATTCCTAGAAGTGGAATGGTTGGGTCAAAATCCAGAGCGCTTCATGGGGTGCTCTTTTAATTTAGATAAGTTAATTTAGAGAATTTTTAATTTTTTGGTTTAGATGGTTATTGCCACATCACCCTTCAGGAGAGCTGTGTTAATTTACACTCCCCACAGCAATACATACTGTGGCAAATTACTGCCCATTTTGGAGCATCCGGTTGGGAGCCACCCAGAATGCATCCATGGGCGAGTTTCTCCAAAGGGTGCCAGATTGAAAACCCAGTTCTATTTTCTGTTGAAACTTGTAGTGGACAGATTGCTTCAGCCTCAACATCTTTACCTTTAGGAAACCACCGTTCCTCCTGAGTGGAGCTCCTCCAAGTTCACTCCTTGCTGTCACTCCCTTCCTTCCCACAAAGGATGGGCATGTGGCTGGTCTTGGCCACAGAGATGATTGGTTTAGGGCTGACGTGTGAGCCAAGCTGGACCAACCAGAGACCTTCCTAGGATTCCTACTGGAACCATCACTAGATCAATCACCCTTGCACTACAGGGATCACGAGCCATCAGGACAAGGTGGGCTTGGGGCCTCCAGGGGCCAGGTAGGCACTACATGCAGAACGCCTCTCTGCAAAGGACTACAAGCCAAGGACGGCAGAGCTGAGTGGTAGGGAGAAAGGCTGAGGCCTGGTCCTATCTTTAGTGTTCCTAGATCCAGCACTGCCTGAAGCTGGTCTTTTGGGTTATGTGACCTAATACATTTCCTTTGGGGCTTACTTTCTGTCATTTGCAGGGGGGAGTATTCTGACTAATACAGTGCTTATTTCGGTAGTACCAACTAGTTTGGTCTAATGTGTTCTCTTTGTTCCCTTCACATTCTGACTTCTGTTCATGCCTGTGTATCCAAGCCATGCCTTTGGAACTGCATCAAGGAGAAGGTTCAAGAGGCCTGCCCACTGGAGTTCCTACTTGTTTCTGGAAGGCCAGCTGGTAAGGTGTGGCAGGAGAGGAGGCCCTACGGCTTCCTTTTGAGGGAGGGGCAGATGGCG